AAAAAAAAAAAAAAAAAAGGAAAATGTTATTTGGAATCGTCGATTCGACACGAGTGATATTTCTATTCGTTATCGTATTAACGCAGAGCAACAGCACAACAATGGCGGAGAGTGCAGCGGAGATGCAAGGCCTAGATCATTTTACAGCGTGACAGACACCGGCGTGAGAAACGCGCGTTCTAGAATCGAGATGCGAAGCTTCAATGGGCGTAATTAATGGCACCCGAAACGCCGTAGTTCCGGCGGAAATGTGAATAGGCACACGGCCGGCGTGGATATCGGGGGACTGGCTCGATTTCCTCCGTACGATCCATTCGACGGAAGCTTGCCGACAATAGGCGAACGCTATTTTCGTTTTCTACGTTTGATCTTTTCTACTGTAGATTGGCCGTAGCAATTGAGAAATGAAAATGGAAATCTGCATCTGACGAAGTGGAAGATTCGGCAGAGTTCTGGAAATTGGCGAATATTTGACGTTTGATTGCGATCCTTTAAATCGCAACGAGGAATGCGAATGCAAAACGGGAGAAGAAGATTTGATACAGTTCTAGAATACTTTGCATTTTCTATGAATTTTTTTTTTTTTTTTTTTTTCTATAGACTGATTGTAACAACGAGAAATGGAAATACAAGTGTTTGAAGGAGAAGAATAGTCGATAGAATTCTAGAATAAGCAAACACTGGGTGTATTTTCTGTAATCTTTTTGTTACACAAATTGGTTGAAACAATGAGAAATAGAAATACAAGCGTTTGAAAGATTCGATAGAATTCTGGAACGAAGAAGCACGATACGTACGATTCTAATTTAGTTCACAGAGATACATAGTTCTTTCGATTCGTCATTAGATTAATAAACATACTTTAATCCTGCTACGCTCCTCAAATTTGTACTATTGAATTTTACTCTCGCCTCGAGAAATAAAACGTTCCAAGAAGATGTTCAACGCAAAATTTAACAGATGAATTGCACGTGCTGATAAGAATTTTTCGTACAATTTCGTTCAACAACTGGAGATATTTTTAAAGAGATACAAAAATGACAGAAAAAAAAAAAGATTAAAATCACATAAAATCTTTAGAAGACACAATAAATCGAGTTTTTCAAAATACAAACAAATAAATCGATATTAATTTCGAACTGATATCACTGTATAATTGTAGTTTATAATGTATTAATTTTGTATTATAATTGTTAATTTAGAATTGAGTTACTCAGTGTCGATTTGAATTTGAAATGAATCTTGTCACGAAGAATCTGAAAACGATAAAGAATAAAATCAAACGTCCGATATAAATTATTACAGCTATGTGTGCGATCCAACGAAATCACTCGAGGTTAATCTTCCTTTTTTTTTTTTTTTTCTAATTTAATTTCGAAAGAAGAAAATGTTTAGAAATAAGCAGAGAGGAACATAGCTAAAAAATAGAATAAAACGAGCGAACCTAGACGAGGAACAACTGAATAACGAAAGTAATGGACGAACAAAGGAAAGCTGCGAGAAAAAAAAGAAAGAAAGAATGAAACGATCGAACGCGCATTATCTTCCACATAATTATGACCTGTTCAATGCTTTCAACCGCGTCTCGATCCGCTTTTCAGGCGCACGAGCTTTTTATTTAACTCGCCGAACGTTACAAAGACGACGAGACAGAGAAACGAGGCGCTCGTTACGCGGAATGTAGTTATTATTAACGTTTCATCAGGCAGCCGGTCGTTACGTTAAGATGTCCCATCAACGATTTCTCCTTCACCTTTGTGCAACCAGGCTCGTTCTATATTCACGAGCTTGATGCCATAATTTAATGCTAAGCAACCGCCGCCGCAAGGCTCAACTTTTCCATCTCGCTCTCACACAATCGGTCGAATTTTCACGGGACGAGCATTAATATTAATATCCGGTGTTATATCATATAATAATATAAGTTTTAATAATAAGTATTCCAAGTATAGTATATCATGTAATTTATTTAGTATATGAACAATAATACTGAGAATATTTGGAACAGATTAATTTTGACATCGTTAAAAAATTGCTTATCAAAGTAATACGTTGTAAAAAGTAAAAAAGTAAATTTATTGAATTTATTAAAAAATTGAATTTATTACTTTGTTCTGTAATCTTGAGCCTTGAACACTTTCCTTGTTTAAAATTAATAATTTTTCGGAGGCAAAACTATCAATCGTGGCCTAAACGGGAACGTGTTAATCCTCGTATCGTGTCAGTTTGCTAGGATTTCGTTGGAAAGATACTTGACTAATAAATAAACAATATTTTTGTCTACAGCGTGCAGAATCAACTCTAACTTTGTCAATTTCTTCATTTCTCAATTGTGCTTCGATTGATTTCAGGAAAATTACGCGTACGACGAAACGAAAAAAAGAAAAGGATCGTTTGGACTCGGACGGTGGAAAGTGTCGATTGAAAGAAAAATTGGGAAATTCCTCGGAATGGAACGATCGGCAGACAGGACGAAAATAGACAGAGAAGTGAGAATGGAGGATAAAAGTGAAATATATGGCGCAGAAAAGAGAACAAAGAACAGGCTAGAAATGAAACAGAAATGGTTATTACGCAGAGAAGCGGAGTTAAATGGAAGAAAATATAGACCGAAGATCGTCTGTAGATCGAGGAACAGAAACAACCAGCCGAACGAAACAAAGACGCGAAAGAAAGACAAAGCGAAAGCTAGTCGTCGGTGAAAAGCAACAACGAGGAGAAATCCTTAAGCTTCGAATAAAGTACACAACAAATCTGAATAAAGATGAAAGAGGCGATAAGTTCGGAAAAAATTTTCCGTATCATTTACCAGCAATTTATCATTTACGAAACAGCGAGTGTGTTGAAGTATTCGAGTAAAATGACGCAGCATTGGAAATGATCATCCTGTTTAGCATGAAATTTTGTTGATTATATTTCTCTAGTGTATGATTCTGTGTGGAACAATCGCCAAGTATAGTGTAGTATAGAGAAGTTAACGATACATAATTTCAATTTCCTGAAAATCAATTTCCTTCGCCGTTTTACAAACTTTCGTGGAGAAGTTTAGTTTATGCAAATTATCCCGAATTATTCGAGTATAATAATATTACACGAGTGTCGACTGTCTCAAAATTTATGGAAAAATTTTATAATTTCAGCTGTTAGCTAAATTTAAGTATAACGTCGCCCTTATAGGGGACAGTGCAAACGACATTGCAAGTGAAATCGAAGTAAATCGAACGGAAAGTACGAGGTGTAAAATGGACGATTTATTTCCTGTGTATCTGCCTCTCGGTTCGTGTTAATGCGATCGAATAATCGAGTGGAAATTCAAAACTGGCTGTTTAAAGGAATTCCATTGGTGTTCATCAAGGATCGATCGACCCTCTCCTTTAAAGTTTGACGAAACCTTCGACGATCCTTGTGAATTCCACCTGCGATGGCTGATGAATGGCGATTCGATTGAACTGGTCGCTTCGGAAACATCCGAATACTCGAATCACATCGATTCAACATTGTTGAAAGTCTGTGCCATCGAGCGTTGTTAACGAACCGAAACTAAGACCATAAATGTTTGGGATAGTTAGAAATGGAAAGCCGATAGTGACGAATAGAATATACAGCGATCCCCAAGCAACAAATTTGTAAAAAGAACATGGTGACAAAGCTTCTGCTCATTTTCAAATAGATTAAAATTTAATATATTCAATGGAAAAGATATTTAATTAAATTTCGTTTCAATGTTCAATTAAAAAGTGAATTTGAAGCTTCGACTTTTAAAATTTGTCCGCTCATTTTGTTGTAAAGTGAGTAGGTGAAGGTAATCTCCTTCTAGAAGTTGCCACGGTATGTAAAGATGGAAATTTGAAAAATTTTTCTCACGACTGACTCTAAAGTAGATCTGAAGACTGAGGCTCCTCCTTTACGACGATCCCCGAAAACTTGATGTACGATCCTTTTTTCACTCTTTTCATTTTCATTAAACTTTGAATATTAGGTCTGGCTGGTGAGAATCCAAGGGAAGTTTCGACGCCATATTCCTTCTCGCTCAATATTTAAAGTTTAATAAATAATACTGGCAAAAAATGAAAAAAAAATGTAACAAATTTCGAGAGTTCGTTGTAAAGGAGAGGTTCCAATCTTCAATTCGTTCAATTCATTTCGATGTGTTTACGTGCTATAATAATTCATAACCTAACCTAACCTAACATTTTCGAGAAGAAAAGTATCTTCATTTTGTCATTATTATTATTAATGTGAAAACATTTTTGAACAAAATAAACGATGCATTTCGAAAGCAGACGGCTTCATGCTTATTTCTTATACTCGTACGCTTCTTTTTTTTTTTTTTACAAAATTAAACTTTTAATGTCCGAATATCAAGATGGAATGAA